CGTCGATAATTCTTAATTTGTAAGTATAAAATCATAGAAACGGACATCATTATGGACTACTAGCTACTTATCTGTGAGATCTTGGAATCATTGTGGCACTCCTTTCCCCAAACTGAGAAACTGGCCTATACTAGAAATGCAAAAGGTTTTAAAGACATGAAAATTTACAGATAGAGTACACCCCGTCTCGGGTTAATGGAGTACAATAACTTTTGCCTCATTTTGGCATCGAACAAAACAGCACCTAAAAGCGGCCGCCGCGTTTACCACCTAAAGCTGTCAAGATAGGCGGTAAACTTCATCAGCGTCAACTATCTCTTTCGCACTGTCAGTCCGAAGATGTTCGAAAACATTTTTGTTCGGAGAAAAGTCGTTCAAACGCAATTGCTTGCGTGTAAATAAGCTCGGTGATAAATGGACATAAAGCTCCGGTCCAATTTGTTTTCATCACTGCATAACAATCAATAACGGCGCAATCGAACCCTGAACGTTTGACATTCGCCGTGACCCGAATAATCGAATTACGTCAAACGTGCAAATGATACCGTGACGCGCCAGAATAATCGATGTGCGCGTTCCATCGAATATCGAAGAGCGCGTACAATTTAAATATTATTCTCACGTTTCGAAGCAACGGCCGAGTGGCGGTGCGAATGTGGCGCAACGCTCGTTTAGTGGCCGTTGTGAATATTCAAGTCGCCCCACGGATCGATGAAACATCACTAGTATTATCGATGCGACAGTTTGTGGGTGTTCGGAACCTATTCGACAACTGCTGGATTCGAATGAAATTTGTTATAGTGATGACTTATAAATTGGATTACACATGCAACGTACACGGATTCATATGTCATACTCTGTATCACATATGAATCCGTCAATTCGATAGCGCGTTATATAAAGTTTATCAATTAAGTAAGTACATTATAAATATACCAGCATGGTTATTTATTATACTCACTAAAGACTATCATGTAGTAAACATGTCTTTAAATTCATCATTATTTAAAAATTATGGTGTAATTTCTTTTAAGTTTATAAATCAACTATTCTATCCATAGGAATAATGCGGTAAAAGCAGTGGTAAGAGACTAGTGTAAGCTCATACCGAGAAGGTTTATCTTATACTCGTACGTGCCAAATGGATAGACTTGCCAAGTGATCGGTCAATTTCGCATCGCTCTATGAATACGTACGTAAACTCAACACTATTACACAGGATAGCTTTATCTTTATTTATATATAAAAATTTCGTGTCACGTTGTCTGTCCGCGATGCACTACTGAACCACTGAACACGAAAATACTGAAACTACTGTAAACCACTGAACCGATTTTAATAAAATTTTGTACACTATGTGTAGTTCGATCCAACTTGAGAGATAGGATAATTTATATCACAATTTATAGTCGCAATATTTTTTTATTGCAAACTTATTTATTTATAACATGAGAAAGAGTAATAATTATCTGTGAGTTCCATAAGATTCTAACAGATGGCAATGTAAAGTAAAATTATCGCCTGGATTAAGTAATAGATGGCGCAGAGGAAGTTGCACGGGACAGGTAGTATAGATATATAGATCAGCTATGAACAAGAAGTTATGCCAGTATATTATATGAACGACGAACGGACGTAGACGAACCAGATGGATATTGTAAGTAGTGCGACGTAAAAGTATTTACACATGTTATTGACGTTCGTTTGTGTAGGGGTGTGGAAGATGGATAAAATGCTGCGTGCATTTTGTATTGGTATTCCACCAGTGTTATGAAACCGTCAATCTTGGTGATATTTCAAAGCGTTTTTTTCTTTAAAAGCGATAAAAGTATCTCGAAGATATGTGAAATCAGCCAATCCGCAGTGGGGTCGCGTCGGCCTTTGCTCAGCAGTGGGAAATATATAGTCAGTTACTTTACTTTTTTTACTAAGTTTCTTCTCTACCATCTCATTCCAAGTAACCACTTCGCAAAGGATAACGTCAAATGCCCACAAAGACAAGAATACTTTGAAATGTGCTCACTCACTAACCACAGAAAAGTGAATTTTCCAAGATAAATTGTGTAACACAAATTGTTCATCTAGGAAAGTTACTTTACTGAATTACTCTACCCTCCAAACATTAATATACCTCTTTACCAGACGTTTCTGCTTTTAATATTTTTATTTCCCAGCTTTTAAAATAAATCTTAATCACTATGCAAAATCACTATTGAAATTATAATTAACTTACTAAAACCTATCAACTGGATATTTGTAGCGGCTAAAAGAATATAAAAAGTAACGAAATGACTTTAATACAAGTAAGTAAAAACACTAGTTTCCGTTTATTATTTCCGTTGTTTAATTTCTAAGCATAATTACTTCCCTCTTTATTATAATCTATTAAAGTTTGAAAAAAGTTGTGTTCCATCATAATTTATCACAATTGTTAGTACGTAAAGACATACAAACAAACACTAGAGAGGTTTGTTGTAACAATATTTAATGGAGCCGTTGTTAGACACCCTTAACAATAAATGGGTAAAAAGCAAGTAACCTCTGCCAATATATGTATCCATTTACATAATTATGACAAGGAGGGGTTTTACTCAACTCCCGATCTCACCCAAACAATAGAATGACACGAACAATGAAAACTGTTCAACAAAAACCTTTTTATAAGAATTCATCGGGAAGACCCACAGGCCACTAAATGCTAATAACTTATAATTCTACCCACGCACGTAAACGCAACTAACTACGGTACGTTACTAATGAAATGGTCCTTTATCACGCTTTATCAATATCATTTCAATGCACATTGTTTCTACTCGAAGCAGTCAACTTGTAAAATGCAGTCTTAATCAAAATCTCAATAAAAGGCACTTTGAATATATGCCAATGTGATGAACACTTGGTTAAAACCAATCTCACTAGCCTTAAGCACAGGCGCAAAGTCGCCAGCCTCTCGGTTTTCTACAGGATACATTTTGGAGAGTGTGCGTTGGAGTTACATGATCTTATTCCTCCCGCCCCTTTCCATCATCGGACAACCAGGCGTTCGGCGGGGCTCCATCCTTATGCTGTCGACGTTCCACGTACAAGAACAAAGCGATTCGCTTCTTCATTTATCATCCGTACAGCTAAGGAATGGAATAGCCTGCCTGCGTCCGTCTCTCCGAATAAAACGTTGGCGTCTTCAAGGCAAGAGTGAATAGGTTTCTACTGAGCTAGCGCGCCATCAGGTGGGATGGCAGTCAAGTGCTAGCCAGTTTTTGAATTAAAAAAAAAAGAACACAAGTTTCCTTCTCAATATTAAGATCCTTAGTTTGGTTATAGTAATAAAATACACATTGATCAATCATTTCAAGTTGTTACAATGTATCCAAAGTGACGACCACTCGACACTGGATACATGGAAGTGTTTGCACATGTTTGCAAGTGTTTGTCCAATGTTGGGTCAAGTGTTTGCGAAAAACTCAACGAACATACGAAATCAACGGGCCAAAAGTAATCGAGTACCCTTATGATTCTGTAAGATTTGGTGCTACGAACATTTGACACGAGAAGAGGGGCTTCCGTATTACTTAATGTGTGTACCGATATGCCTATAATCAAAGGGGAGACACCATAATTGAGGAAAACTTCCGTACATCAGTTATTTTGTTATGAATTTCTTGTTGACGAAATTTAAATCATTATTAAAGAAATTAGAGACAGGTCGTGAATTTTTACGTAACCAAAAAGTCTTGATTTTGGAAGCCAATCCATCAATATCTCTTAAAGCCCTTTTTTTCAGTATAAAAAGGTATTTTGGGAACTTCAAAGCAATTTGATCAACTATTTAGGTACACCAATCAAGATTGAATCAAGTATTACCGTGTCTCATAACATACTTTAATCTGGGCCAATAATAAGCCAATGTGCACTTGCAGTAGAGTAGCGATTCCTCTCTGAAGGTTAGGATTTACTAGCAACATTTCTTGTTTGAGCAATATACTGTCGTTACCAAGCCTAATGTGAGGGGAAGAGAAAACCAATTTTTAGCAGTGGAGTTAGAACGGTCCAGAAGTATGAGGATTTACAAGCAGCTTACAATATATTGTTCTGTGGCACCGTGATGAGAGACCAGACAAGCTGATGATTGCGTGTATGACTAGTGGCTCTATGGCTGAAACAGTGAACGGCAACCCTGTGATCAAATCCGCTCTAAAAAGTCGGGACTCACCTGAAGCGCCGCCTGAACACCATTGTGACATCACGGTTGTTATATGCCAGTATCGAAACATTGGGGCGTACCAGGAGCGAGATAGAGCCGTGATAGCTCAGTGTCCGGGCGCTCTTAATATGATATACTCGAGCAACCTGAGTTCGGTCCCCGGTTCCGGCACCAATGAAATTGTTAATTTTAAGTGCTGAATTATCACGTGCTCAGCGGTGAAGGAAAACATCGTGGGGAAACCTGCGTATTTTCGAAATAGTAATAACAAAAAGAAATATTTCGATGATATGTGAAGTCCGCCAATCCGCAGTGGGGCCACGTGGTTAACTATGCCCTGATACCCTCTGTACAGAGGAGGCCTTTTCCCAGCAGGAATACATATAGGCTGATTCTTTACTTTTTCACTTCTTACCAGTAGCGACATCTCGTTCCTTGGCACAATGGTGACGTCACCGGGCCGTACGCCGGGCCCGCAGTAGGACACTCAAATGCAACATGGTTAGACAGCGGTTGTTATATGCCAGTATCTAAATGTTGGGACGTACCAGTAGCGACATCTCGTTCTTGGGCATCATGGTGACGTCACCGGGCCGTACGCCGGGCCCGCAGTAGGACACTCAAATGCAACATGGTTAGACAGCGGTTGTTATATGCCAGTATCTAAATGTTGGGACGTACCAGTAGCGACATCTCGTTCTTGGGCATCATGGTGACGTCACCGGGCCGTACGCCGGGCCCGCAGTAGGACACTCAAATGCAACATGGTTAGACAGCGGTTGTTATATGCCAGTATCTAAATGTTGGGACGTACCAGTAGCGACATCTCGTTCTTGGGCATCATGGTGACGTCACCGGGCCTGACGCCGGGCCCGCAGTAGGGCAGCGAGGGCCCCCGGCTGGGCGGCGGCTCGTGCAGCGCCCGAAGCGCGGCGTGGAGACGCGCCCTGGCCGCACTAACACCCCCCGCGCCCCTCACCGCCGCCTCCACCAGCTCGCCCACGTCCTTCTCCCATCTATGAGCAATTTCAAACTCGTAATCAGATCGGAAAAATATTTCCATCCAAATTATGTGCAATTTCAAACTTATCGGTCGTAAATATGTTTCAATTCAGCGTTAAGTTGTGTTCTAACTCGATCAAACTAACCCCTTAGTTAGCTATAATCAGTGTTAGTCAATTTGTTTTAGTGGCTTTGCTGGCGATAACAAGTCACTCAACACGGCATGATGGTTTCTATTCACACACTAGACATATGAGTACAGCCCACAGATGATATTCCAGATCAAATTCTCACACTATCTATGCAGTGTTACATACACTGCATAGATTGAGTGAGAATGATAGAGTATGAGAGTCCATACAATGCAACACAATGTACTGTGAAGATAGTTACTAAATAAATGAGTTAATTGAAAAAGTTGTTTCATGTCTACACTAAGAAAACTAGCCTATTCGATCTAACACAAGTGACGGATGAAATAATACGTAAAGAAATTCACTTTAAATAACTTGGAACACTTCTGACAATGATAAACTGGTTTTCCTGTGGGATGATATTATGTAACATCTCGCTTCCTCACCTGCATCCGCCCAGGCACGCTCTGATGTCATCCTTGAGGCTCCTGGATAGGGTACATATGGGGCTACCGTCGGAGTCCGAGGTGCTTTGAGATCCTTCGTTCTTATCGCAGTCGGAGAGGCGACGCGGTGCCGGCTCGTAGGGTTCATTCTTTGGTAATGTTGGCGACACGCGGCCGTGGCTGCCGCCGCCGCTGCCATAGCCTGTGCACACGACAATGTAGATACTGGCGATGTCCATACACCGTACGTGTTGCAAGTTAAAGTTAAATTTTCTTCATTCCATTTAGGCGTTCTCCAAGTACATTGGCACATTCAGACCCTTTCCGAAAAGACCCGGAATAAACTGAGGCCGTGACTCAAACTACTTCTTTCATTCTAATGAAAAGACGAAGAATCTTATAATTTACTGATTTTTTTACTGCTGTAGAACAACGCAGCAACGTCTGCTGTTCTCTTCTTGACCGTGCATTCGACGGAAAAGCTTGCAGGGGAACTATCACGGCCTCACAGAAGTCTAGCTTAAAGAGGGAGTATATACTTTCGCGCTTTGTCTGATAAGTTAGATAACCAGGGCGCAATTTTTTAATGATTGGCAACGCAGGTGCAACTTGTCAGGTGCTGTACATGTTCGCGAGCTGCGGTTTACATCAAGTGAACCGCCTACTCGCCGACCAAGGCCAAAAAAATATGTAGCTTGGAAAAAAAATATGTAGCTTGGAACTTAAATTGACTTTTGGCTCTTACAAAATTTGTTGTTCAATTTATAAAATTCACACAAAAAACATTTTATGATTTCGACCAGTATAGTAATTGTCTATTCATAATCATATCTATAGTAATTGTCACATCAATAGAGTAACGCCTCATATCTATTTCAGAGTGGTCTCGGTATATTTCAAAATTTGATTGAATTCAGCTAAATGAAATTATTTGATGTGTGCACTTTTACCATTTCTGTGTCATCAAAAAGGGTAACGAAACCATGCATTAGATAAGTTCCAAAAACTTTGCTTATAACTTTACCCATGGCATATTATGTATGTCCTGGTCCGGGGAGGAAGCATGGCCTCGCAGAAGAACAAACTTAAGTTGGATCACTTTGTACTTTTGTATATCGACTATTGAATAAGACAGTAGTTTTTTTTTTTTTGAAGGTCCAATAAGAGCTTAAATTAAGCCTATCTCTATATATAAAAATGAATCACTGAATGTGTTGCTAAGCGCAAATCTCGAGAAAAGCTGAAGCGATTTCGCTAATTCTTTTTTCTAAATATTCCTTGAAGTACGAGGATGGTTCTTACAGAGAGAAAAATTTTAAAAAATGCCTGAAAAAGTCTAGAAACATCACTTTTCTATATTCCCATACAAAAGATTCGCAATAATACTTAAAAGTCAATTTGTACTTTGATACCATACCATAAAGTTTAAGTGTTAGTGGAGGGGTTCCGGGAAGACAATACAATTGAGTGACGTTAGTATCGCATAAATATTAATGTCAATAGTTGTCATTTTGTAATAATTTTTTACTAGATTTTGATTCAAGAGGAAGGTTTATTTGTATAAGGGCGTGGTACCCGTGCAAAGCCGGGGCGGGTCGCTAGTATTGAATAAAGATATTTTAACTTTGAATGAGTCATCAGCGGCCGCTCTTTTAAAACTTGAATAACCAAATCACACAGTGATTGTAGATTTCTGCGGGCTTCGTTCATCCTAAATATCAGTTGATCATCAGCTCACCTGCCACCATAAAAAATGAACCGTATAATTATTCTTATAGCGTTCACCGTCTTCGTTATTAACATATGCCGCGATAGTACTTTAAACGTAATGCAAAGTTTAATGTTTAATAAAGGGTAGTAAAGACTGAAATTTGTATTCCGTGTCCATCTTCGGCAGTAAACTTCGAAACACCGCGGCTATAGAATATAATGTGGAATGAACGTTACTAAGGTTTTTGCGGCTACGTGCGATGTAGTTACGATAATATTAAGTACAGAACGTTAAATTTGCGTTGACTGCTAACTTTAATATAAGGACAAACACAGGTTCTAAGGTTTGTGTTTAATGTATACGTGCCGGCCACTCTCGCTGTTATTGATAATGGCCACTACGAATATCGCTGAATGGAGTTACGAGTTTTTTGCTATTGCTAAAACCACCACTTCTTAATAACGCCAGGATACGGCGGGGTAACCGATTACCTTTAAAACTTAGCTGCAACAGTGTGTATCAAATAACGGTAAATACAGTGGTTCGAATAATGGTTTTTTTTTTTACGGAACATTAGATAGACAATTTAAACTATTTTCTTGAAATCCATCTACTCATATTATCGTATAATTGCCAATTGCTTGTGGTTGAAGCAGTTTAAGAGCAAAAAATTGCTTGACTTTGTGTCGAGAGTAGAGCTCAACCTCCACTTCGCGGTATTATACGTCTGTTATACGTGTAGCGTACGCTTATTATTCACGGTTTTATTCGCGGTATTAGAAGTGCAAAAGATTACAAAGGGTGCTGTCTCCCTCGCTCCATAAATTCACGCATGCGCAGGCCACGAAACTCTTCCTTGTGATAGCGTATTCAAGCCCGTTTGTCGCCAACGTCCGTACAAAGTTTAACACGCCGGTTCTCGTCCGATCACCGAAGTTAAGCAACGTCGGGCGCGGCCAGTACCTGGATGGGTGACCGCCCGGGAAAGCCGCGCGACGTTGGCAATTTACCCATTTTTTTTTTTTATTTGCACACTGTTCGTGGACGATGACGATCTATTTTGAACAACGTTCTCAACCCTTAAGTTTTCTTTACATACAATTCTATAATTCTAAATATTTATTTTGTAACATTTTCATGAAAATTTAACAGTCTCAACGAATTTACTGGATTTGTTGTTTTAGTTGGTGCTCTGGAAAAAATTGCTTTCTGAGCGATAAGACCACGTATTGTACTTCCTTTTACATTAATTTGTAATTTGCTTTTGATATTTTTTTTTCTTGGTGTACAGTAAAGTATAAATAATGAGACGATTTTTTTTGGACTTCAAAAAAGTCTCTCAAGTTGGTTGTATTCTTTTATGTTTGTCACCTCGAAAATCCGTTATTTATGAACCGATTTTAATTATTCTTTTTGCATTGGGTTCGGTTTAGCTCCCATGTGCTGACATTAATTTCACTGGATTTCAACCTTGAACTCCGGAGATACATCAGGGAACTGCTCAAAATAGAAAATGTATATTTAATTTTCAATAAATAACATTGCATCAATTTTCGAAAAAACACAACCGTGTTCCGTCTAGTTTTATTGACATTCCAAGACCATCTTACCTAATTCTCATTCGAATGACCTCAAATGACATGACACTTGCCATTACTTTTTTTGTCATAAATTGTCATTATATTCCTATTTATATTGTAAATGAACAACATATTATGTATGTATACTCAGTACGGCAGTTATAATTATGAATAAAATTATTTCGTATCGTATGAATGTTATGTTGTTCATAACACTCATACGATACATAATATAGTAATATCATCGGTTATGAAATAAATAACATCTTTTTTTTTCAAACAGAAAACACGGACGAAACATAAAGAGACGAGGAATGAATGAATGAATTTATTCTTTTTTCTAGAAATTTCAAATAAGTCAATTCAAGCGAAGAAAAACTTAGAATAACAAGGAAAAAGTTGTATTCTTAGGATTTTCGTATACGTCCAAATATTTAATATAATTTTTTTCTAAATGAAACTAAACTGAAGTGTTCTGGACAACTTTAGATATTACAGATTAAAAAAGCAATCGTAAGAATTTTAAAATTTCTACATAACAGTCACACCTACTAACAAAATACATATATGCACATACATATAAAATAAATTAATCATATTAATACTCAATACATACACAATATATTATGCACGCACATATGTAAGTAAATAAATATAAAATGAACATACTTTACATTTAACGATCCAGAGAATCTGCGGACAATGTTTGGGGAAGCGCGGGTTTTTTTTTAAAATGCAGAATTGGTTACCTGATGATGTGGACGGGGCGCGGCGGGGCACGCGGGGGGCGTCTGGTAGTTCCACCCCGGGAGGCTCCTCCAGGGAATCCACGATGATCACCACTTCCTGCTCCTCCTCCTCCGTGTATAAGGGGTTAGACCTGAGATGAACGAAAATAGAACACCTTCTGTTTATTGAGGAGATGATAAGGAAGCAGGCGGTACAATCGATATAACTGATATTGGTTGTACCACCTTACAATCGACACATTTTTTATTGTATCAGGGGGGGGGGGGGGGGGGATCCCCTGTCACTTTACATGACAGGGTTATCTGGGGTTCGTTTTAGAGGGCTAAAACCCCCTCGGTGGCCGCCTTCCGTACATTTGGAGGGACTCCGGGATCTCCCATGGAACGCACCGGTGTCCCTGTGGAACATCTGTGGGACTGCAGATTTGTTTTTATGTGTGAAAGTAGCAATTGAGCTGGCGGTTCCTGGTGTTAAGTGATAAGCGCCGCCCGCGGACATTTACAACATCCATATATTATTTTAATAAATTGCATTTTAAACTTTTAAAAAAGTAGGCCCCTGTTACCTCACTCACCAGACAAAAGACCAAAGTATTTAGATGTTTTTGTGCATATCTACCAATTCGACTACTAACAACCAATACATGTAAGTTCTACTGCTGAGAAACGATCTCCTATTAGAGGCTAATAGCGCATAGTCCGACACGGTACTACACTTGGGGGTGTAATACTTTACATATCATTGATTTTTTTTTCCTAATTTTTTGAATATGCAGACTTTCTCACGATGTTATCGTTTAGCAACTGTCTGTAGTACAAAGCAGCAAGATATATACCTGCGTCTGTAGTATAAATTGTATTTAACAATATTATTGGCGCCGGCAGTGAGACTTGAACCCAGGTCGCTCGAGTATACTGAATTAATAGCAAGTATTTACACACTGAGCTACCACGGCAATACATATTATAGAACAACTAAAGTGTCGCTGATAGAGACCTCATGAGTCTTTCTAGAAAGGAAACGTGTCATTTGGCCAAGTCTTAGTATGTTCATTTACTTAGAAAAACCTGCCAAGGGCAAGTCAAACTCGCGCACAAAGGAATCCGTACCATTATCTAAAAAAATCAGGTCCGTTGTATGGGAGCCCAACTCAAATATTTTTTCTTCTGTTTTTTAGTATTTGTTGTTATAAACGCAAAAGAATTACAACATCTGTGAAAATTTCAACTGTCCAACTATCACGGTTCATGAGATGCAGCCTGGTGATAGACAGACAGTAATACCCTTTTTACCCTTTGGTTACGGAACCCTAAAATCGTAAAGGCTTACCTCCACCAAAAACAACACGAGAAATTTACGTTTAAAGTTTCAATCCCTTTCTTTAGAGTTTTAACTCTAGTTTCTGGAGTGTGACAAGTCAATATTTGAAAACGTCCTTACCTAGTAGAAACAAAAATATTGGAGTCCTTTTACTTATTTTCAATCGACTTCAAAAAAGTAGGAGTTCAGTTGTATGTTTTGTTTGATTTTTGGTTCAATACTACGTCGTTTATGAATCGATTTGAAAAAATGCTTATGTGATTTAGCTCCAATGTGATCTTATATTCTTTTCATGGGCATTCGACCCTGAACTCCGGAGACACATCAGGAATCTATTTAAAATAAAACATAAAATGGATAGAGATTGAGTTAGTTGAAATCGATTTTGGTTTTTGTTACTTCAAATGTTTTTAGAATAAGAAATAGGCGAAGGAAGTAAATTTATTAGGTTTAGACTTTTGAATATTATTGTTTTAAAGTCATTTATATTTAAATTTGGTGCTGTAGTACCATAAATGAATTGGGTATTTATAGATAAATGATTTATAAAGTCTTCATAATACAGCAAACGTATAGGAATTTATTATGCCTGCCTTACAGACATGCACTATGTATACATTTAATGCGATGTGAATACATTATTTAGAAAGGCAAACAGTGTTGCGAGATGTATCCAATGATTTACGACATTTACTGGTAATTGTAATGCTGTGTACAGCCTGCGCAATACGACGGGTATATAATGTTTAAACAATCAACTAGTAATAAACACTTGTGAATATAAAAACAAGCTTTTTCTATAGTTTAGACCTCAAACAAACAATACCGATTTTGGAAAATTTTATGGACTCCACATGTTATACACTCGTACATTTAACCCTATCTAACTCGGTATAAACGTTTACTCTATAGTATATCTCGATCGGAAGTAGTTATTAAAAATGTTTTACACCCCTGTTCTTCGATTTTTAACCGACTTCAAAAAAGGAGAAGGTTTTCAATTCGGTTGCATTTTTTTATGTTTGTCGCCTCGGAACTCCATCATTTATGGATCTATTTTAAAAACTATTTCTGAATTGGTTTCCGTTCTCCCTCGTGCTCCCATAATAATTTCACTGGAATTGAACCTTGGACTACGGAAATACATCAGAGAACTCCCCAGAATCAAATGGGGGGCCGTGATAGCTCACTGTCCGGGCGCCCGCTTTTAATTCCACACACTCTAGCAACCTGAGTTCAATCCCCGGTGCCGGCACCAATGAAATTGTTAACTTTAAGTGCCGAATTATCACGTGCTCACCGGTGAAGGAATACATTGTGAGGAAACCTGCGTGTTTTCGAAATAATAACAAAAAAATAATTCTAAGATCACATTAGGCGAACCGCCAGCACGCTTGCAAGGTGGCACATAAAAAAAAACGTTATTGACATTCAAGACAAATACAGAGCAGTCTTGTCTTTAGCGGTTGGATGATATTTTTTTTTTTTTTTATGTGAAAAGTTGCCAAACGAGCAGACGGGTCACCTGATGTTAAGTGAATACCGCCGCCCATAGACATCTGCTACACCCGAGGGTTTGCAGATGCGTTGACAACCTTTTTTGGAAATTGGGCTCCGGCTACCTCACTCACCAGACGAAACGCGAAAGTATTTGTCATACTTCCACTTTACGCCGGTCTTCTGTGAGGTCGTGGTACTTACCCGGACGAGCCTGCCCATTCGTGCAACAGCCGAGGCTGCTGCGTGGCTCTACCACCGTTGATATCTTGTGATAACCGACGCTCATTGATAACGACAATTCCCAAGGGGTTGCTGTTGGTATCATCTATAAGAATGTCGACCCTGATTTGGTAATAACTTCTACTATGCGGTTCGTTGTCATCGGGTCATAACAACGAACCCCCTAGGCTTTCTAACATAAAAACTATAAGAAAACTGTGAATTTTCCTTTCGCAATTTTGCGTGTACAATCGGACGGAGAAGATGACTATCGCAAGCAATATATTTATAGCACGTAACGCGTCCGCAATTATTGTAGTGTCATTTTCGAGGCATTGAACCCGCGCGACTGAGCTCGAACAGAATTGAAACCTATTGTCCCGGTGTAAAGGGTTCAAGGAAACTGCACGGTGTAATTGCAAGCTAGCGTCGGCGGTTGCCAGGAAACTGTGAATCAGAAGAGGTCGCCTGTCCGTTTCTTTGAAAATAATTGATCATTGTTTCCTATATTTTACCTTGCCTTCGATTTATATTTGATACGGTGCTATTAAAAAAATTGTAATTTGAAATGTTCAACGGTTACGGAAGCTTCATATTCAAATACTATTTAATACTGAAGAAATAATACGCAGTTCCCAATGTACGTTACGTTTATATTATTGTTCTTTTTTTTTTTGATTTTGATTTTATATTATTGTTCTTTGGTGTCGGCGAATAAGATAAAAGTGCCAAGTGAGGTCGAGAATAATAAATAATAAATAAATCGGGAGCCATTATGACACAAAGTTCTCTATGCCCAAACCATTGCTTGTTCTATGGGAAGTAGATAACTGATAAACATGCTTATACATACTTCTTTTTGTTATATAAATACATATTATTACAAAGACTTGCATATTAAAGATATAAATAGCCCAGACACTGGAAAACACTATGTTCATCACACAATATTTTTTAAATAATGCGGATCGGACCACACACACTGATACAATAGGCAGGTCCGTATAACAATTGATGTTGTTGAGTTTGAGTTGAATTGTTAATGAGTTTAAGTGTCCATTAAAATTATATCTATTACAAGCGGACCGGACAGACGTTGTCCTGTACACACTAATGTTGTCGAATTTAGTAGTGGAATTATGTAGTGGACCGAATTGTGAATCTAAACCATTCTCGAATCGACCTGAAGACACACAAAAAATTTAATTTAAATCGGTCCAGCCGTTAAGGAGGAGTTGTCATAAACACATACAGATATTTCAAACTCTAAGCACAAAATATTTTTTTTTATATTGAAAATGTGTTTTTCACGTGATTTCTTCTAATACCGAGGAATAAAATTGTCATAAATTGGTCAAAAATAATATTTTTTACTAAAAAAACATACTTGCACACTGCCGGTACGTGTATTTTGATTGTGTGGACATTTGCACTGTCATCCTGTTGTATAATATGCGATGTGTCTTAACAACTCTATGTTAAGACACAATAATGCCCTGTCATTAACCTATAGACTAGCCGGTTAATGACAGGGTATTATTGCTATATTTCATTTCAGTCCATAAGATGTTAAAACGAGACACGATCCAATATAGCTTGCACGCACACCTGTGATAATTTTTGTCGGATTTCTTACACGCGAAATTCAGGGAGAAAAAACTCACGCGATGAGTCGACGCAGTTGCTGCAGTTGTTGCATGAATGGGCAGAGAAGCATAACGGCCTTACAGAGGACCAGCGTGAAGTGGACGAATTATACTATGACTCCGTGGCGTAGTTGCCAAGGTATTGACTTCGGTGTCGGGGTCGAAGATTCGATTCCCACACGGGACAACTATTTTTGTGACCCACAGATAAGTGTTTCGCATCTGGGTGTTTCTCCGCGTGAAACTTATGTTTGTAAAACGTGATTACAACACAGGATAATGTGAATAAAGTAAGGGCAATGTTAGGAAAAAAATATATATAAATTTAAATTATGAAAATTATATATAAAAAAAAAACTGTGCAAAACCAAGTTTGTTGGAGACGTCCACTGGTGGTGGTTTTCACGTAAATTTCAAATGTCAACAGTCAGCTCTCCTGCCACCACATAAAAATTAAACTCTAAAAATTATTTGATATCTCTTGATTAAATCGCATGGCAATAACTACACCTACAGAGACTATCCTAGTTTCAGAGCTCTATAGATCTACGACGTGGTAAGTCTAGTTAAATATCTTGCCGATGTTAGAGCCACGCAAGTCTTCGCTGTTGTACAAATGGATCCGTGAGGAGGAGGGAAAGTACCACGTCCTCACAGAAGACCGCTGTGTAGTACATGTGCTACACGTCTGCGTTCCTTCTGGTGAGCGAGATAACGGGAGCCCACTTTATTGAAATGTCTCAATGCATCTGCAACCCTACAAGTGTTTCAAATATCCATGTCTCAATGCATCCGCAACCTTACAAGTGTTTCAAATGTCCATGGACGGCGGGTATCACTTAACATCAGGTGAACCGCCACCTCGCTTGCCACCTTCTCGCATTAAAAAAAATCTTGACGTGTACCAAAAATTCAAAAGGCCTCGTCGTCCACTACACCGAGTACAAATGGGATCCGCCATTACCTGAGCACTGGCGGCATGTCATCCAGCGCTCGGAGCGGGTGCGGCGTGGGCGGCGCCGGTGGCAGCTCCAGGACTGTGGCAGTGGGAGCCGGTGGCAGCTCCGAGAGTGTGGCAGCGTTGGCCGCGGGCGGCGGGGGAGCGGGCGGGGCGCGCCTGCCGCCGCAAGCGCAGCCCCCCGCCTCGCCCTCGCGTCGCCCTCCACCCTAAGCAAAGGACACACGTTGCAACGGGCTAAAAGTTGCAAAAACCGCCCAAGTGCCAGTCGGACGTTATCTATGAAAACGGCAAAAAATCATATCTTTTGTATGGGAGCTATTATATTTTTTTTACTCTGTTTTTTAGTATTTGTCGCTATAGCGGCAACAGAAATACATCATCTGTGAAAACTTCAACTGTGACAGACGGACAGACAGACAGACGCGGAGTCTTAGTAATAGGGCCCCGTTTTACCCTTTGAATACAGAACCTAAAAATTGAATCTGTTCAACTATAAATGTATTTTCTTAATCAAAGCAGCAGATTTCTACTTAAACGTTAGTACATTTACAATTACATAATGTAAGTAACATTCCTCTGTACTTTTTACATGTAGCTATTGGTTTCATTTAAGGTAAGTAAAAAAAATAATCAAGCTTATATTGTAATTAAATCGTATTTAATTATTTCGTTCAAATCCATCATTGCAGCTTGAAGACGAAAATGAAACAATATATCACATATACAATGTATGACTGTGACTTAACACAGTTAACCAATTTAATATAGAACTAATACTACTACTAATTTAACACAGTCAATTAATTATTTACTCAGTTAAGATTACGTGAATTAGGTTAAAACACACTTTATGGTAAAACTGACATTTTACATAGTATCTGACGCCCAACTAAGCTCTGCTGTATAAATTAAAAACACCCCAGTCACCTCACTGACCTCTGGACACTGTTCGATGTATTATAGACTAGCTGTGCCCGCGACTTCGTCCGTGTGAAATTTAAAATAAATTAAATTTCTAAAATAAAATTTGCCTTAGTTACTACTAATCACATCAGCTATGCGCAAATGTAATGCCCAGTTTCGGAAAGGCCAATCAAAGCAGATATCACATAAAACTATGTCAAAAATGATCAGCTGTTAATCTTTTGTTAAACCGCCTTGGGTTTCTGGAAGCTTTGTTCAAGAAAAACTTGCTAAATTGAACCAATTGAACCAAAGAATTATTATTAATAGTTAAGAAAAACCAATTGAATAAATTTGCTATAACCAATGATAATGAATGAAATGAATGATTTACTTCAACTAACTCTTTCTATTGTAAATCTGTCCCTTTTTAAACAAAACTTAAATTAACGTCACTATCCAGTCCCGTCACCGTGTGATTGCCAACGTAAAAATTGGAGCTATAATAAAATTTAATTTATATAAATACATGCAAAATGTCAAAAAAACTTTACAGAACGTGAAAAAAAGAATTATAAAAAGAAAGAATCCATATTATTTAATAACTTTTGAATTGCATTTTGTATTTTTTCTAATCGCATGATATGTTCGCATAATAATAAGTAATAATTAATAAATAGGTATTAGAACACATGAATGTCCTAACAACGTATTAGGTAATTATGTTTATTTTTAATAAACTAAGATTTTTGATAAAATACATTTTTAACCAACGATTGATCGTCTAAATTGACAGACCACTAAATCAAACTTTTGACAGCTCGTTGACCACCGAAAAACGCTTTCAGAAACTCGATTTTCTGTTGATTGTCCGTTAATCAGTGGCTAATTGCAAATCAAAATCAATGTTGTTTTAAGACGTTCTAGCAACTCAGATCATGTTAAACAACGATTGACAAGAGATTTATTGTAAATTAAAATTGATTGCGCTTTCGGAAACCGGGTGTAAGACCCGTAAAAATCGATGCAGCCGTTTCGGAGATTAACCGTAACAATCCAATTTTATTCTACTGCATAGATATCGTAACGTAATCGCTACAACATTAACATGCATTGTTCGTTAATTGTTAACCGACAGACGTTATCGTCGAGTGCGCTCAGATTGACGGAGATGCCCTCCAAAGGCGTAACACAAAGGTCGGACACAACGGCGGATTGTCAAAATTTCAAACACAAATTCCAACGCAAGGTCCATACCTGACTAATTTACAAGGGTTTATTACGAAAGATATAAACATGCGTTAAAAACGCCATTTACACGGATAACAAGATTTTATTATGAAATATATAGATCATATATATGTGCGTAAATAGGGCCATTTACTCGTGCACAGACAATAACAAGATTTTATTCTGAAAGATGTAGATATGCGTTAATAGCGCCATTTAAACAGAATAAGATTTACGTAGAGGGGGCCATCATTTCAGCCTGTCCGAGTCCACTGCTGAACATAGGCCTCCCCCATAGACTGCCACGAAGTACGATCCTGAGCCACTGCATCCAACGACTTCCCGCACATTTGCGCAGGTCGTCACTCCATCTGGTGGGGGGGTCGTCCCACACTGCGATGGCCAGTACGAGGCTGCCACTCGAGAACCTTTCTTCCCCAACGGTTATCGGTTCTACGAACTATATGGCCGGCCCATCGCCACTTCAGTTTGTTAATCCTCTGAGCTATGTCGGTTACCTTGGTTCTATTGCGGATGTCTTAGGGGGCCTTGGGTTACGAATTTTCGTTTACCACAATGGTAAACGAAAAATCGTAAATGATACTGCATACGCACGTTGCCAGGTAATAATTTAATCTTCTTCCATACATTACTAATCCAAGGTCGATTTTGTTTGAACCTGATGCTAAGTAAAGTAAGTAGATAATGATGCGGAACCTTTCATGCACTAGTCCGACTCTTACTTGGGCGGTTTTTTATTCCACTTCTTATTTACTTAATGCCCAGTTAAGAAATATACGATTCTCGCATGTTCAAAGTAACTTCGACCGTCTACCATATTTCACCAAACCTTCTAGTGGGTTGTTAAACCACAACTAAGTCTAACTACCACAAACAGTCCAAAGATCAAGGTTTACTTAACTTTTCATAGCGTTAATGATAACCTAATATTTGTCAAGATAACTGCATTACCGATTCGACGAAATCACCCGAGCACTTCACAAATATCTGAGATGTTGATTATTATTTCACGTCGCGTTTTTTAAGTAAAATTGTCTAATTTTAAATTTTGCCACCTAATTAGCACCAAAATCCAATTTTCCACTTTCCTTTGCTAGTGTGACGGATTTGCAAAAGTATAATACTTCTCCATATATACGTTGGTTTTCTGTGAGGGCGTACTTTTTCAAAAATTTCCGCAGTTTCACGAATCATTCAGAGGAATACCTGTATGTAAATAATAATTATAAAGATATAATTAAAATTCACTGTCTGAAACATTTGAGTACTAATTGAAGTACTGTATTTGTAATGCTTTCATTGCGTAGCCGATTTATAACAATTTTTTTTTATCTATTTTATTTTCTATATTACAAGTTTATAGGGTGCCACGCGCTCATCGGTAAAGTCACGCGATAATTTTTTACAATAACGATAACTTGAATAATAAGAAAATCTTTCCAGAAAACACAACAATTTCCAGATATATACAGATTATAAACTGCGTTGTATTGATTGTGTAACAAAATGCGAATTTTCAAATTTCAAAACATGTAATGGATATCGAGGAATGGAGTCCTGTGATAACTAATGTTACGAGTGTGCGCTTTTGCACGGTAAACTTATTGTAGTGCTCGTATTATAATTAAGAGCATTGATGATAAATATCCATTAAGATAAATGTGTTGCGCACGACGCGGCTTTAACACCAATCAATCAGGAGCAGTTAAGTATGGTCCACGAGATAATAACCGAGCAGTTGTCTCAATCGTTATCAGACACTAACACGAAAATGATGATCGGCATGATCTCGTTCGATACGCGGCGACTGTTACAAAAGAACCTCAAAGACTGATGCATTATCGCTACGCCGGTTTCAGGGATGTCAAAGGAATGTTTATTAGCTTTATTTCAAGGGAACTTACATATTTCTTAGATATATATATATATATATATATATATATATATATATATATATATATATATATATATATATGTATGTATATATTGTGTGTATTTATTTATATTTTTAGTATGTATTAAGTTTATGTTTAAAATCTTCTTATGTAGTGTATAATTTTAGAATATTACTTATCTCAATCAGATATGTACCTTGTAAATTTCAGTTGTAGTTATTCTTTTTTTTTTGTCTTTCTGTGCACCTACCTAATCTTCTCTGTACCACCCTAAGGTTGACTGGGAGATAATGCCTTCGGCATTAAGTCGGCCTTTGTACTTTTAGTGCATATAGGATAAATAAATAAATAAATAAATATTTCAAAGCCTTACATTGTTTTAAGTAAACGCGGTTACTATTTTCACAATTTTTTTGGAAATATCCGGGACGTGAGACGAATGAATTTGAAGAAATTCCTAGACGTTCACGACAAGAAACGTCTTAGGACCTAAGCTTTATCTCGAATACAAGAACAAAACAAATCAGTTTATAAACTATCCGAAACTAGCTGACAATCCGATTAGCGTAGTCGGTTATATGCTTGTCTTTTGTGCCAGAGGGTGTGGGCTAGATTTCTACTGCTGGAAAAATATTGTGTGATGAAAATCGTGTTCTTAAATATCTGGGTGCTTAAATATTTATTTATTTATTTACTTTATTAGGAATATGTATTTATTTACAAAGTAAAAGTATGTTTATCGGTTATCTAGTACCCATAGTATAAGTTTAGTATGGGACTAGAGAACATTGTGTAAAAATGTGGCCGGTCCTGTCCTGAAATGCTATAATCAAACTATTTTATATGTAATCTTAAACTAACATCCCAAAGAAATTTAGTTGTGAAATCTAATAGCATCGCACTAAACGGATTACATTTTATACATAGATGAATATCAGTATACTGATGGATTATTTTTGGAAAACAATGAGATGTATTTTTAGTTTATTAACAATTTTAACTAACACAAAACATGACGATCCGCATCCCTAGCCTACAGATAGAATTATCACACGTATACTGTTTCCAAAGGCGTTTTTTGCACCTGTCCCTCACTTAGCTGCTACTCGACTATCGTAAATCGATTCGTGATACCGCAAAAAGCAATTAGTGCGTAACTGTACGCGCGATATGATCTCGTTTCGCAACGTGTATCGAATTAAATCGAGACATCGGTCCATCCGCCCGATCCCTAAGCAGAGTTCATCTCCAGCGTCGGTGAATTTTTAGGATTCCCCGCTTGCCAAACTCCCCCAGCTTCTTTGAACGTGTTTTGTGATTAAAACCATCTCATTAAACTAGTCACACATGAGCATATCGCTGATCCAATGTGCTACGAACGTACGGAATCAAATAATGGTAAAAAATAACACATGCTTATCATTTTGAACGTGTTGAAAGTCAAGTCATTAGAAGTTCTGTTTTTGTTAATGTTCATTTAACATAAATAAAATATCTTTTGAGCAGCCTCGATGTTTGCTAGGTTCGAGACCTAGCTGCCCCTTTCTTTTCAAAGCTTAAGGCCCCCGGGGCTTCAGGACCCTGGTGCACTGCACCAATTGCACCTATGATAGCTACGCAACTGCTTGGGAACCACACAAATAACTGATTTTTTTTTTTTTATATAAAACATTGCCCTTACTGTGGCTAACATTATCCTGCGACGTAAGGACGTTTTACATACATAAATTTCGCAACGCAAATACCCAGATTCGAAACAATTATCGGTGGGTCACACGAATCCCTCGTGTACGGAATCGAACTCGCTACCCCCAGCGCCGTTGCAACTGCGCCACGGAGTCATACTTCTGCGATTCGTCTGGTGAGTGAGGTAGCCAGGCCCCACTGTATTAAAGGTGGCAACGCCATTGTAAGCCTACGGGTGTTGCAAATGTCCATGGGCCTCTATCACAAAAAAAAACTTTGTAGTTTAACTACTTTTAAGCAACGTCATTACATTCGTTAAAGGTAATTAAAGGCAACAGACGATTGCGTATGATTATCGAATAATTGTAATTTATGTCTATATAATTGTTTCTGTTTACTCCAATTTTTTACGGCCTTTTTATGGTGATCAAGGTTCAACCCTGTTGAAAGTTTCTACATCAATTTCTTACGGTAAAAGACTTAAAGTAGAATTCATATTTTGGTATTCGTATAATTGAACAAAGGATAAGCAATTTGTTAGACGAGGATCACGAATAATGTATATTAATTGGAGGATATATTCATCGACTTTGAAAAATAATAAATATTTCGGGACGTATATTTACACAACTTTATCTAGTCCCAAACTAAGCAAAGCTTGTACTATGCAGGTAAGTGATAAACATGCTTAAACGTAATTTTCTTTGGTAAATAAATAAATATTATTCTAGATGTAAAAATATCCAGACACTAGACAAACACTAGGTTTATTACAAAATATTTTTCCAGTTGTGAGAATCGAACGCACTCCATCTGACACAACAGTAAATACTTTCACAATTTATAATTTTTACGGTTTGGCATTAACAATGAGTAAGTAGCCTAACTGACTTTAACTTAGTTTTGCAATTATTTTTCATTTTTGTACTTCAGTTGCAAATTTATTATACTATAAACTGAAGCAACTGTTGAGTTACTTGCCGGTCTATTGTCAACAGAAACTGCTCGTGAACCGTTGGTGAGTTACTTACGAACTTGTGTATTAATTTTTATGAAAAATTGAACGTTTAATTAGAACGTGCAAGCGTCTGTTTGGTTAAAGATATTTTAAATTTGAATTTGATAACCCGTTAAGCTTAGGATCGGAGGAACTCGAATCTAACTCATGGAGTGTACAATATCAATTCGTTTAGTTTACTGACGTGCAATTGTTCTCGGAATGAATGCTGCAACATGTCATCTGTTAATTTCAATAAAACTTGGACTTAAAAACATATATTTTTAATCACCACTCCCAAAGCACGTTTAACAATGAATCTGATCGTATTACACGAAAACCACAATATTCTCTTTACATATAACCTCGAATTAGTGGCGACTAAAGAGCGACCTTGCGGTTGGGCAATTTAAATGAAATGTAGAGCATGAAAACTTTCCTTAATGATTAAAACGAAAGTGTACTTGTTAAAAATTTCACATATATTGCGTTTATTACCAATTCTAAGGCGACATATTATTTATAGAACAAACATTAACAGTTATTTTTATACTATCGGCAAATGACGTCACCTGACCCGCTGCTGACAAACCGCGTTGTCTTGAAATTTATTGTTTAAACTATCTCATTTTTTTCGTTTTTTTTTTTTTTTTGGAGGACCTAACCTTGTGTCGTACCAACAAATAAAAAATGATTTAAATGTGTCATTTGCTATTTACACCGTGATATAAAAGTTTTTCATGGGAATTTTAAAAGAAGATTCCTTATAGGCATTATTTACTTTTAAAGAGACAGACACTAGGGGTAGTTGTAGAGAAAGACAACCCAGTATTTTGAGACGTTTTACGAATTCAAATTAAACAAGGACAAATAACTAGACCTGGAATAATTACCTGTACGTCACATAAGTACTTCTATCTGATATTAATTTGCAAGTGTTTCCTTTATACGAAGTTTTTTGAAATATAATTTAAATAAAAGACTTCTTTTCATTCGTAAGGGAACCGACCGTTATAAATATTTGATACACGTGTAAAATCCATTTGAAAACACGGTCAAGTGCATACTGAGGACGGGTGCAGAATATAAATCGTAACAACTAAGATTGTAGCAGTGATAAAAACTTTCTTATATAATAAGCGATCCTTATCAAAGTGTGCATTGAGATTGAATGGATTTCATTTTTTATTCATATTCAAACATTACATTTGTAATGTCAATTTTGATATGTATGAGATTAATTCAATATTGACATTGTATGAGAACGCTATGAGGAGGGGTGAATGTCGCATGATTTTTTAAGATGGCAAGTGCGCTGGCGGTTAGGTGGTAAGGTCCACGCAAGTCCTTGTTGCCTGTTACAAAAATGGACAGGTCCGTGGTAAGTACCACGACCTCACAGGAAACGGGCGAAGTGGAATTTTTATGCTTCCGCGTTTCGTCTGGTAGGGTAGCGGGGGCCCACTTTATTGCCAATGGGCGGCGATTATCACTTGACATCAGGTGAACAGCCAACTCTCCTGCCACCTTCTTACATAAAAAAGTGCAGCGTATTTTGTGTATGTAAAATCACTTACAATACAAGCTTATGACGTCTTAAGTAGGTAAGGCGATTG